CCCCAAAACCCCAAAACCCCAAAACCCCAAAACCCCAAAACCCCGTATTTAACAGCAGAGGAAAGATAATAAATTATCTACGTAAATTAATTAATCAAAGATGAATACTGCCTTCAATTATATCTCAGACTTAGTTACTGATGTCAAGTCTGGATTCGATACTAATTTTGACGAGGAGAATAACGCGACTTTGATCCAGGAAGCTGAGAAGGTCGATACTGTCCTTCAATCGATGAACTTCTGTGCTGATAAATGCAGCATTAATTTCCATAAGTTTAGTGAGGAGGACGCTAGACAGCTCAAGTGTTTTAACAGCTGTGCCACAAAGACTTTTGAAGTCAAGCAGATCGAGTCTTACAACAGAAGTTTGTTCTAGCTATGCGTAGAATAGGAATCTTAGCCTCATGGCGTTGTACTTATAAATAATTTTGTATTTAAAACTCCATTACTCGTAAATTCCTGTTAATTGAACATAAGGGTATTTTGGGATTAATTCTACTTCCACCAAATTACTTCAAGCTGTGAGGGGATAGGGATTACAGATTCTAGGCTTAAGGAGACTTCCTGGTGGAGATAGCACTCCCAACGCTATTTCCTTGACAGCTTCTAATTTGTTTATCACAGTTTCATTGTACATTTTAAAAGAGGTCATAGATGTTTTGGTGACAGTGACGCTTATTTTGTTTATGAATTTAACTAAATTACTAGAGACTAGTCCTAAATTGCTCGTTGATACTGTGACTAACCTAGAAGAGATTATTTCATCAATGATTACTCTTAGGGTCTACCTCCTTTGAGGAGTTTAAATAATTCTGATAAGCCACTAAGCATTATGATCAAAATTAACCAAAGTAGAAATATCTGAAAATGAACCAGAGTACTAATTTGGTGAGAGATCTCAGAACAACGGAGTGGAGACACTTGAATTTGAATATGCATGGTTTATATATGTATTTCTTCTTCATTCTTGAGCTTCTAAATCTCCTGGTGCAAATCATTCTGCTCAACTGTCAGAAATGAAGAATGGATTATTTGCCTCCTAATCTAATTGGCATCCTTCAGAGATGCATCAGGGGAATTTTTAAGAGAAGAACTATGCATCCAGAAACTGTTGTAATATTGCTTTTAACTAGCTGCAGAAACCCCAAAACATTTCCCCTTCCTAGTTACACCTTTTCTCAGATTTCATTCTGATTACCTTTTCCATCTCACCTAAATTATAGGGAAAATGGATGGAATTTTTATCGAGGAAAAGCCAATCTAAGTACAAATCTTAGTACTACTCAATGTCTTTGTAGTCATATTTCAGGCTTTTGGGAGATTCAAATAAGATCTTGCTTGGTGCTTAATGTCAAGGTATGCATTTGTAAAAGCCTCTTAGCTTAAATTACTCTATTTGAAACATAATAGAAGGATAAGAACTATCACTTAATTAAAAATTTGGAGTTTATTTAAAAAATTGCAATATTTCTTAAAGTTCTGATATCCAAAGAGATGAGGTGTTAGGGTCAAGTAGAACCAACTATAAAACTCTTATTCTACCAGTGTTAATGCTATAAATTATTAGAAATTCAATAGGAAGCAATATCTTCTATACACAAAATCTTTCGAATTTTTTCATAAAAAAGCAAAATAAGTGTTAAAATATCTGGTGGAGATGGCAAGAAGGTACAAAGAACTTCCAGATAAGCACACCGAATACTTAAGAGCTGTAACAATAATGGTTAGAGAGTATAACTCCCTCTTTTTGCCAAGGGAGAGACCCTATTAAGTCAAAATTATAATAAATCTATTTTTAATTTAATTCAATTCTCTAGACTAGCTCAGGGGTTTTGGGGTTTTGGGGTTTTGGGGTTTTGGGGTTTTGGGGTTTTGGG